TGTGTTTCATCCATTGCCCCCTCGTGTCCCCTTCATTCCCCCCTTTGTGTTTCATCCATTTCCCCCTATAGTGCTCCTTCATTCCCCCCTTTGTGTTCCCTTCATTCCCCCCTTTGTGTCCCCTTCATTTTGATGGGACGACAAGGTTCGGGTCATTGCACACTGCAGGGATACTTGGTGAGAGGTGGGGGAGTGGGTGGGGGCTGAATATCGAGCGCTTCTTGGATTCTTCATTGGCCATGTTCTACCCATGGAATTTGCTGAGTCTTTACAAATCAGAGAGCCACGAACAAGTGGATCTGAGTGAAGTGGCGGCCTTCGTCTTCTTTGAGCTCTTGCTTTGTTTAAAGAAAAGGAGCTCGCATGAACTCTTGTAGCTTCGCATGTGCCGGCCCGAGGCAACCAGTGATCGTCCGAAGTGGATAGCAAGCAAGTGGAACCTCCCCCGAAAAGCAGCTGCCTCAAGTATGTCTGGATTGTTTGCGTTGGGCATGGGTATCAAATGGTGGCGCCGGATCAAGCGGCCACCCGTGTCCTTTCGTTCCCTTTGAGTTTCGCACCGCCCAGATCCTTTGGGAGCCTGAGAGCGGAAGAACAGTGGCTCCCTTGCACCTTCTGTACAGGTTCGTTTGACTGGTTCATACACAAGCGGTGCGTTTTTGCTGAACACCATCTTGCAGGTGTCCAAAAATAGAGGCTCCACACAGAAGCAAGGGGTGGCTTGCTGTGTTGAGCAGCCGAATTGGTTCGGAAATCTCTGAACAGCAGGCAGCAAACATGACTGAGATCCACAAAAGAGAGAAAACTAATGGCCGGACATTGGAACATCGTTTCCTGAATGGATCAAGGTGATTCTGGGATCTTCACCTCACCCAAAGACCAACTGAAAAAGGGATGGAACACGGTGAAAACCAGGCCAAAACCCCGGACAGGTCGATGCTTCGACACACTCAACTCACCGACTCAGCGACCTCCCTCTTGTCTTGTCTCTTTGTCGCGCCGGAGCCTTGTCTTGTGGAGGCGGCTCCTGCGGACCGAGCAGAGCTCGCTGTGTGCAGTGGAGTCCTTGAAGTTCTTGAAGCTCAACGCTAGAGACCGACAAAAAAATCATCAAAAACGCATATCTGAGATGCCACGAGAAAATGACAAATGCTATCTTTGCTTACATGCGGCCACCGATTGGAGTCCTCCTCTTCCGGCGGCGCCACGACTTGCAGATCCAGCCTCAGATCTCGTCACACTCTCGCCCATTCACGTTCATCCAGAACCGCCAGCAGGTCTTGATGGATCTTCCCTGAATAAGGTCTCCTTCAGGATGTTCCATCTACATTCTGCTGACCGCTCTCCTCCTTGTAGCCTCTTCAAATTGATCCTGCCTCTCTTCCGACCTGCCGACAGATCAGCCCACTATGGCTATGACCGACTCACTCACTCCACTCGACTCATCCATGCCTTCCCCCGTTGCTGGCCAACGTCTTCCACCGTCGCCCGCAGTACAGCCCAGTGGCTCTGGCATCGGGTTCACTGCCTCGAAGCGAGGAAACGAACAGATCGGCGGTCTTCGGTTTTTTTGGCGAAACTCAACTACTCGGGCGACGAGGGGGCGAAATACTCCAAAAAAGGGGTCTGCACATGTGGATTCCATGTGTTTTCATGTGTTGTTTTTGTCCACTCCCTCACACCTCACACGGAGTGTGTTTCTTGGTCAACCTGCCGCCCACGGTCACGCTGCCTTCCTTGTCTCTTTTTTCGGATTGGACGGCGGCAAGCCATCGGTGAGACGGGCGACCCAGCCTCTCGGAGGAAAGCAACGGAGCTCTGGCAGCCATGAGTTGAAATGGGTAGCCATAAGTTGAAACACATGTTATATATAAAACCATGGACTTACCATGTTTTTATGTAAGTCTCCATGTTCAAAGGTGCTTGGAATCGACAGGACTTACATAGGACTTCATAAGACTTCTGCTCGTTCCCCGCTTTTGTAGGTCTGGGCCACAAGGGACACGTGAAGTTCGATGTCTGTAAAGTCGCCCTTGTTCGATCTCTACACGAAACCTCCCGGAAGCCAGGCTGGGCCACCAGATGTGGATCATGTTGAAACAAAAAACTGGATTCATCCTTGAGTTCCTCATGTCTTGTGGGGGGGCGCGATTCAATGTCTGTTCATGAAGCAAGAACTGTTCTCTTCGGTGCTCTGCTTCGAGTCAAGCAGCACCTTGGCTCTGGCCATGTGAAGCAAAAAAACGACGCTTTCGGAAGCAAGAACTGTACGCGGCAGTCACACACCCTCGTTGGAGCTGAGTCAGAAGCCGCTGATCCAGGAGCAACATCGCAACATCCAAAGCAAAGGATCGAAGAGATCCGCCGGCCATGAAACGTAAATGTTGTAAAAGTACCCAGGTGTGAGACAACAGCGAAAGAAGAATGAGTTGACAAGTTTCTGGCGGTTATTCAGCGCATTTGGTGGCACCCCCGTGTGATGTTTCATGGTTATTTGCATGGTATATAATGCATAATGGTCATCAAAGGAATGTTGGGAGACAAATGTGCTCAAAGCATGCCATTCACACAGCAAGCCACGTCTCTCAAAGACCTATCTTTTTCATTATTTTCGCGCATGGATCATGCTGTTTTTGTGATGTGATGGTGAACGGTGAATCTTACGGCAGTGACACAGCTCGAATGACATGACTGCCCTTGCAAATCTTCAAAAGAAGTGCTGTTCGCAGTGTCCACTTGGATGGCGATCGATCTTCTCCCACACAAAACTGTCAGTTTGGGCCCTGGTGGCGAGCCCGTCCACTGGCCAATCACAAACAAAGCCGCCACCAAGTCTGCTTAATCCCTCTCTGGACATCATGGTCTTTGCCTCAACGGCACACGTCAGAGCTTCCAGCACGATCCCAACAGTAGAGCTTGATCCTCCATTGAGTCAGTTCTTTCGCTGCATCACCTGTGGCTTCTTCACAAAGAGAATGCCACTATTGCCCCAGAATACCCGGGGGGGTCTACCATTCTGCTGGTATCTTCAGGGGATTGTACTTTGGGTAGAATGTCACAGGAGCACTGACTTGCCTTCCCCGAGTTTGGGGCAATCAACTAAAACACTGGCTCCACTCGTGACAAGGTGATCCTGCATCTGCTGGGTTGGTCTGGACCTCTGCTGTGCTTCCTCCCAATCACCACTCACCACGGAGATCAGGCGATAAGAGGGGGAAGTTGGATCAGCCCAGAGAACGGCTTGGCGGTGTTCCATGTCTTCCATGGGGGTATCCAGGTTCAAACGCAAGCAACAAAGTACAGCACAGTAAATTACGACCTCACGGTTCATCATCAACTTGGCAGTGGTGATCAAGATCCGAAAATCACGATGAGAAAAAGAAGTGAGAGACAAACACCAATTCGAACGAAGAAGTGTTTTTCGTGAGGAGACCGCCCCCCCTTCTAACGCGCCAATAGGATGCCGATGCCCGTGCCCTTCTCTCGGGTCGATCCAGCTTCATTCTCTGCAACGGTCGATTCCTGCACTCCGATTCGGAGTCACAGGTTACGGCTCGAATCAGATCCAGGCACGCGCTCGGCATGGGCGCTGTTTCGCTTCCAGGACTTGACGAATGGGTCAGATGGGTCATGGTCACCACGGTCGGTCGCGAGACCCTGGACGCTGAGGAAGGCGAATTCTTGATGCAGCTCATTCGCAGAAGGCGCTGCGCTTCGCTTAGAGTGCTTCGAGAGAGGCACGCGAAATCAATCAACTGAGAAGGCGAAGAAAACTCGAGAGCGAGCGACATCAACCAGCTGAGCATCTCTGGGCACAGGTCAGCTCTCCCATCCAGGATCCATCCGGGAACACGGTCCGTTGCGGAGGACATGGAACGCAAAAAATCAAGCCAGGTTCGTTTTCACTAGCATTTTGGGTGAAGTAGCTGACAACCCAATTGGCCATCGTCCCAGAGTCTTCACTCTGGATAGGGAGATCAAATCAGCCGAATACGCCAGAAGTTCATTCTTCATGCAAGCGGTTGAGGAAGGAAGGCAGTTAATTCAAAACTTGAAGATTTGTGAGTATTTGTGAGTGCTCAGACCCACGAAATATTAGGGACGTCGCTTGAGTTGTCATGAGTCAAACTCCTTCTTGCCACTCTTTGTGAATCTCTGAATGCCGAAGCTTCAATCCTAAAGAGCGAAAAATTCTCTGCAAAGCCAATAGGGGAGTGATATCTTGAACCCTCAAACAGCCGGATATTCATGCGGGGATAACTCAATCGTTGGCGGATGAAGATCCCAGTTTGAGTCTTCACAGAACACCTTCATGGTCGCCCATGGCATCACTGTCTTCCTCTCTCTGATGGTCTCAGCTTGAATCCATGCCTCAGCGCTTCTCTGACTGGGTCAGCTTGGCATCCAAGGCATGCATAGGCTAGGTATCGTAACAGTCTCATAGGTCCCTTTGACCCCTTGCTTTGTCAAACATAAAGACCCCCATCCAAAAAGAGCTGCTCGAACGGAAAATCCACCAATAAAACTTGAACAGAGCCAGCAAAAGGAAACCCACATCCCTTCCCTGAAGACCCCAAAAAAACCCTCACCGAGAAAATCCCAAACAGCCCGAATCCCCTCGCTGGGCTGGGCTGGCCCTTCAAGGCATCCTTCAAAGCGTTCCTGGCGGACCCGGTGGCGGACCGGAGGAACACACGGCACCACGCCGTTCAGTCGGTTTCACCGCAAGGCTCCGTGCTTCCATCTGTGTTGGCACCACGTGGGGGTCTTGGGCAAAAAACTCCAAGCTTTTCTGGCGATATCACACTGATGCCGCTAGAATCCAGAACTACTGCTTCAGAGATCCTCCAGGAACTCATCCATGACGTACTAGCTCGTTGTTGCTTCCTGTGGTGTAGTGTATTGTACTTGTGGTTTGCATCGCACTGGGTTGTTGAATGATATTGAATGTGCCAGCACATAATTCTTCTCCTGGAAAGCATCCGAAAAGCGAGACCCAAAAAAGCTGCAGTTCCACTTTGGAAAGGAAAACCCGGTCCTCTCCAATTTCCCGACATCTTTCTTTCAAACAACTCTACTCTACTCCTCAAAGCCTGTTCGGCCGATTGTCGATTCGGTCGATCCCCACAGTCCCACTGAAGCGCCACCTGCCCCAGCACTTGTTGAAGTCGCCACTTTCCCCAAGCCTCGAGGCACCAGTGACGAAGTGACAGGCATGGAGTCAGGTGCGGAGCAGAGTGTGGAGCAGAGTGATGGTGTTGTGAAAGGAAAGCGTACACCAACATGGGACCCTGAGTTTGCTGTTCTCTACAGGGATCTGGGGTGATCGCAGCACCTCAACTTGCGTGCGGGCAACCTGACTGGTGGCTGTAGTAACTGTGTTAGATCGGTAGATCTAACTCTGTAACTGTCAAAAATGTGGTGATCATAAGTGGTGGTGTCTGTTTAATAAACAGTACCGGTGCGACGTTATCCAGTCAACCTATGGAGAGAACAACGAAGTTTGCTTGAAAAATGTTTCAGACGACGAGGGTTCCTCACAGAGGACGACGGTTCAAAAGATGCCGTCCCGAACTGTCTTATCATTTGCAAGCAGTCAATTGCTCCAAGAAAAGGGGCCACGCCACGCGACAAACTTTATGGAGCTGCTCTCGGTTCTGAGACTTCCGTTTGCCCAACTCCGAAGGTCAACCCAAACCCAATCCGCTCCGCTCCGCTTGGCCTCGCCGGGCTTTCTCCATCACTTTGCGAAACTGCGCAGTTTCACGCGGCGCTTCGCGGCGCAGATCGAACGCTCCGGTGTAGTGGTTCGTGCGGTTGAAAAAGGAGCTAAAAGCTGAAAGGGAAAGGACATTGGATCTTTCGATTGATTTGTTTTACAGAAAAATGGAAAAAATGGCACCGTACATGGTTTCTTAGCTAAGACCTTCATGGCTAAGACCTTCATGTAGACCAGTTCTTTTGGGGTGACCGAAATGGACCGATTCATTGGTCCGCGAGGCACGAGAAAACCGTGACAACCGGTCGCTTCGGAGGGGCGAGACTCTGGCCGCATCAATCAGTCTCGCAATGACCTTTTACACAAGGAGAAGTCTTGAGAAGTCAATCAGAAGTCAATCAGAAAATGTATGAACATGTCTAAAATATGTGTCTTCTGGTTACAACCCATTCCGATCCCAATCTCTTTTTCCAACTCTTTCCAAGAATTGAACTCTGGTGCCGAGCTCCCGCGCAGTCGTTCTGGGATGCCCTTGGCACCTGCGCCACTCGCGGAGATTGGAAACCACCTAGCGTAGACCTGTTAATGAATTAAAAATGAACAAAAACATAATACAGAGATGAATGTACAACCATTCTGATCATTCTAGTAGGGTTCTGCTTGTTTATTCATCGTCAACCCTCTTCATTCGCCAACAAAATTGAATCACACACCAACCGTTCCCTTTTTCTCCAACGGTTCTCTCCTCTTTCTCCCACGCCCGAAACCTCGAACCTCAAAACGCACCGCACCTCTGCGATGGGTCGAGGTGTGACGGGTTGAAGTTCCGGCCTGGGCGACCGCGCTTCGGGCGACCGCGCGGGTTGACTTGACATGACTTCGCCGCGCGGTCTCCGACCTGTTTGGAGACCTTTCTTCTTTTTTCGTTGGCGGAATAGCGGTCGTTGGCAGTTCCCCCAAAAAGCGTCGACACGTCCAAGAAAGCCCGACATCAAGTCTTCTGCGGCTCCCAAACAACAATGGGTTCATTCATCAGTTCAGCTCCGGAAAGGGTTGCACTAAATGCTCCTCCTCCAAAAACCCGACCGCTGCAGAGCTCCCGGGGTCGGTCGAGGTCGGTACCGCTACCGCTGGGCCCCCGACATCCCCGGATCCGTGTCGTCAGAGTCCTCTGGGTTCGCGGTGTGAAACCGCTGGAAACGTTGGGTAGAAGGAGATGAAGTTGGGTAGAAGAAGAGCAGTTCTTCTTGCCAGGAGCCAGGAGATGCCTGACGTGTGCTATAAGTCCAGTGGTTTGGCATCCAGTTCATAAAGTTGACAAACCAATCACGGCCAAATGCTTTCATCGACCCAACTTCAAAAAAAAAAAAATGTGATTCTGTTGGAAAAATGCGGATGAGGAAATACTCCATGCAAGTGAACATCGTTCTGCAGCTAAAGACGTTCTGATCTCCTCTTGTAAGGTCAAATCAAAAGAACCAAGAAGGCACTCCTCTGCGGCGACTGCGGCCCTTGCACCTGAAACAACTCGGTTGGAGTGTTCTGTTGATCCAGTCACTGGAAAACAAAAGATCTGTTTGAATCAAGCAAGTTCTTTTGACTCAAACAAACCAAGCAGGTGTGCTTTGGTTAAAAACTGGTGCTTTGTTCCCGACTTATCGAGGAATCTAGTGGATGCACGTGTAGGGAGTTCTACCCATGACCGCTTGCATCGATCGCATCGCAGATTCCGTGCCTGGCGATGGCGGCCTTCGGGCTTGGGCCTGGCAGCTGTAGGTGCCGTGAAAATCGATTTGACCATCCCTGTGACAGTTCCAGGCCTTGTGAACACTGTCTTGTTCCTGCTACAACACTTCCATCCCCCTTCCCTTCCTTCCTTCCTTCCTCCACCCTACGCCACTCCGGCCACCGCCTCTTGACTCTTTTCGCCGGTCATCACGGCGGCCTGGAGACCGAGACTCTTCAGCGCGGTCCAACCGACCGAAAAGGCCCCCAAAAGCGAGACCGACGACACCCACGTCGACGCTCCTTCGGGCCCAATGAGAGATGACCTTCGCCTTTCCGATTCCAAGGGCTTCGCCTTTCACCATCCAATCCCACCTCGAAACTCATCCCGCCATCCTCCACTCCGACGTGAACGCGAGCGCATCGCCGTCGCGTCGGCATCCGGTCGCGCCGCCAGCAGCCCTGCGCGGTCCGTCGGCTCCTCTTCCAAGAAGTTGCGAAAGGAACTCTGCCGTCGCAGCCGGAGCTCCTGGATCAGCGCGCGAGAGCTCGCTCTCGCTCTCGCTGGGTGGATTGGGTGGATGGCTCGAAGGAAGAATGAAGGAGCGGAGGTGAGGTGCCACTTATTTTTGGGCCCCCTCCTGCATCTTTTTGGCCCTGCCTTTGTTTTCAGTTTGAAGAATTTCCTAGACAAAGACTTCTGGAAGTAGACCTCAAAAGCATGCCTGGTTCTACAGGCATTGTATCCCCCTGGAACAAAACAAATTCTTCATTGCAACTTGCCGGAGGGCATGCTCCAGGCGACCCCAATGGCGGTGGCTGACACGTCTAGTGGTGTCTTTTTTCCTGTCCGATCACTCTACATCGACCGATCCGGTACCACTGCAGCGTCTTCATCTCCCTGACGACCAGACGAGGCGAAGCGTGGCGAACCGGGGGCTCCCGAAACTGTAGGAGCTCCGTCTTGAACTGTACCAAGCACCTGCGTGGCCGCACCCGTTGGGGTGTCCAGGCCTGGTATAAAGGATTAGACTGAGAAGGACGAGTTTTCGGATGAGCACTTGCTCATATGCGAGTTCTTGGACAACTCTTCTACTCGCCCTTCAAGTGTTGGGCAAGGTGATGAGTCTCATGTAAAGATAAAAATAGAAACCTTCAAAATGGGCGAGCTTGGCGTGGAGTCTCACCATCCACTTCACCAACCGTTGTTGGCCCTCACGCCGCATGCATCCGATCCTTCTCCCAGCTCAGCTCGGGACGACTGTAGGTCTGCTAAGCTCGTGCATGCGGCATGGCCTTGCACGACGCGGGTCTCCGGGTTCAGACTCGCTTCGACGCTTCGAATCGAACTGCTCCGGGTCTCCGGGTTCGGAGCGGAGCAGAGGTCTTTAGCTGGTCAGATCTCCTCCAAGTCGAGCTGAAGAAAGGGGGGAAGGAAAGGGGGGAAGAAAGGGTCTCTCGTGGATTTGATTGAAGGGGTATCTATACATCTGCAATCATCTGTAATCATCTGTACATCTGTGCCACCCCACCCTTTTTGGGCTGCAACATAAGCAGTTCTTTCTCCTGCAGTTCTTTATCACTTCCAGTCCCGAACTCTTTCCCTCCTGGGCAGCAACTGTCCGCACTCCAGGAAGACGCCATGGGGGCGCGCTTGTTGCGAGATCCGCAAGGGCCGCAAGGGTCCAACTCCAAAAGGCTAGCTGTGGAGATGGTGTCAGACAGCTCAGCTTCTGAGCGATCGGTCGACCGTTTTGGTCTGCCTTCGATGCGATCGAGCTACACGTCCCAATGCGTCACGTTGAGATCTGCGAGAATGAAAGAAGCTCCGGAAATTCAAGAGCTGAGAGCTCATATGCGGGCTCAGTGCGTGAGAGCATATAGTGATTCATGTGCAGATACTGAGCTGAGCTAAACTCGTGTTTTTGTCGACGATTGCGCCGTACTGAGCCAAATTGGCGGCAAATCAGGGCACATCAGCATTCCACTGGGTGAGCCCAGCATTCCGTCTTTGTGACCCCATTCCACTTCGAGGCTACGTCTGTCAATGAACATCCAGCAAGCTCAGGGCCTTTCACTTTAAGACGGATCGCTTTTCTCTTGGGCCCAACGAAAAGGGTCTTTAACCTGATGTTTCTCATGGCTCCACCCACCCAGAGAGGCTTCCTTCGACTCGTTTCTACCCACGAAACACAACGTTCTGTTTCAAGGAGAACGGAAACAAAAACAAACTGAGTTCGACTGGTCAAAGAGTAGGTCAGTAGGTCAAGAAAAGAATCAGCACAACGTGTCCTTCACAGGAAGTGAGTGCAGGACAAACCGAGAAGGAGGACGAGGAGGAGAGAAGCGAGAAGAAGCGGTGTCAAGCACAAACCGAACCCGGTCCCATCCTCCAGTCGATCGACTCTGTCGGAGTCGAAAGTCGGGTTTCAGGGGTCCGCCACCACGAGTCTCCTCTTGAAATCCAATGAAATCTGGACAAACTTCGTTTTTGACCAATTGTTTTTCTTTGTTTTCTCTCCATCTTTCCTCTTGGGTTCGTCTTTTCAAAGACTTGGACAAAGTAGAGGCCAAAGTAGAGGAATGAGATCCTTCTGCGACCGTCTCCACCCCCGGGTCCGTCTCCGGTCCGCGCCCGGAAGATCGCATCAGCGGCACCGCTGAAGCCCCAGCGCTGCGCGATCTGCGGGGGAGTCTTGTCGCCAAGGGCGCCCATGGGGTTGGTAGATGAAATCTGGAAGATAGCGCCCAATGGACTGAACTGGGGCTGGTCAGAAGCTGGAAGTCCCAAGCACTGGAGGGAGTCGTTGGTGACAGGGAGGTCCTATTTCACAACCCAGGAAGCATTTCTTCCGTGTCACCTCGGACAAGTAGACAGATTCATTTAGTAATATGGTGTCATTCATCTGACGATTCATTCAGAAGACATGAACTTCAAGATGCTGTTGGAGGTGTTCTTTTTCTCACCCACCTTATAAACCACCATCTACCGAACCCTTCCAATCTCACCTCAACCACGCTCGCCAGGTCTCCTGGAGCGCCGTGAAGCCGTCGTGGTCCTTCAACCCGGTGCGGCACACGGGCAGCTTGCAGAGCTCCGCGCAGATCTGACGCGGACTCCGACTCCGCCGAGGCCCGAGTGCTTTCGGCTCAGTAAGACATGAGCCTGGGTGTCGACCCCGAACCGAGTCCGCGAGGTGTGGGGACCGAGTCTTCACAGAAAAATCACGAGTCCGACCCCAATTTAGGCCATGAATCACCTGTCGGTCAGCTCCTGTGCCAAGAACAATCCGTTGGCCACACAACGTTGTCCCGCCCAAGGGTCGTTATATCATATATGGTTTTTTAGTCTAATGGTGGTTTAATATATGGTTTAATATGGTTTGTCCCGCCCAATGGTGGTGTAACGTCGCTGTAGGTTTAAATATGGTCTAACTTGGGACTTCATGCCATCTTGGTGCCAAAGCTCCGACTCCTTCGCCGCTCGCCCCGGCTCGCCACCTCTCCACTTCCCGCAAAGGCAGCTCGGTGAAGTGGCCTTGGCGCGTCTTCACTGAGCGCCCTGGTGAGTTGTCCGTGAGAACACAAAGAACAATGAGGCTCTAACGACCATGCACTGCATCTACGCACCGCTTATGTGTTTCTGTGTGCACCACGGGCGTCCCTTCTCGAACGAGCTGCCTTCTGGTCTCGTTTCTCGTCCGCACGTGCTCCTTTTCTGCATTGGGCCATCCAGCCGCGCCAAAGAAATCGATTTGGGGGGTGCCATCTCTTGGGCGTCGGGATAACTGGCCAACATTCAGCAAAGCCCATGAGGTGAACGACAAAAGAACGTATGAACACCTGTCGTCCTGTGTCGTTTTTGGAGCTGTGAGCTACTGGTCAATCGTCCCTTCCTCCCGGCAATGTTCAACAGTTGCCGTGGAGATGTTTTACAGCATATAGACAGTGATCTTTTTGCAGCATTTGCAGCGGTCTCATTGGGAGGGGTCAGCAAGTTTCGATTGATCTCAAGCGGAATCCACTGCAGATTGTACATCCACGAGTGGCTCAGTTCTGCTTCGAAACAAAAGGGGGCTGGTGAACATGAACTTGACACTGCTCACATGCACAAAAGAAACTGTGCCGATCGAGGGATGCCCTGGCTCGTTTCCTGGCTGGGTTCCCTGCTCACAGAACCCTCAGCCAGCTCTTTTGTTCTCTGACCCCGCCGCTGGGGGGGAGCGTGCCCCGAGAATGTTGTACTGATGAATGATCCAAATGGCTGTGTTCGAAAACGAGCTAAGAAAATAGACGTCTAATCCATCAAACTGTTCAGGCGGGTCTCACTATTGATGAAACACAACTAGATCAGCAACTTCTTCACGTTGCAAACGAAGGTGTAGTGCTTGCCCTCGCACACTTGGTCGGCCAGCCAAACCTCGGCGGGAAAGCAGATTCAGCAAGATTCTAGGGCGTCCTTTCATGTGGAACCAAATGATTTGTTTCCTGTCAGAAACTTGGGAGTTGGTTGAATTCGAGCT